GGACTTGCTTCCACAACTGCAGGATCCAGATCCTTGAAATAAATATACCCCCTCTCTCTATCCATATATATGTATGTATTTATGTATGTTGTTGTTTTTGTTAGATGCCATCAAGATGGTACCGTCTCATAACAACCCTATGCACAACAGAACAAAACACTGACTTATTCTGGGCTAACCTCACAATTGTTGCTATGTTTGAGCCCATTGATGCTGCCACTGTGCCAATTAATTTTGTTGGGAGTCTTCCTCTTTTTCTCTGATCCTCCACTTTATCAAATAATGATATCCTTCTCCAAGGACTGGTCCCTTCCTACAATATGTCTGAAATATGAATGATGAAGTCTGGCCTTCCTGGCGTCCAAGAAGCACTCTGGCTATACTTCTTCCAACACAGATCTATTTGTTCTTTTGGAAGTCCATGATACTTCCAATATTCTCCTCCAACTATAACTCAAATGCATCAGTTCTTCTAAGGTCTTCATTATTCACTCTCCAACTTCGGCATGCATATGAAGTTATAGAAAATACCTTGACTTGTGTCAGGTGCGCCTTAATCCTCAAACTGACATCTTTGCTTTTGAATACTTTAAAGAGGTCTTGTGCCGCAGATTTGCCCAATGCAATATGTCATTTAATTTCTTGACTGCTGCTTCCATGAGTGTTGATGGTTGATTCAAGCAAAATAAAGTTATTGACAACTTGAATCTTTTCTCCATTTATGTGAATGCTATTTATTGGTCCAGTGGTGAGAATTTCTGTTTTCTTTACATTGAAGTGCAACCCATACTGAAGGCTGTGGTCTTTGATCTTCATCAATAAATATTTTAAGTCCTCTTCACATTCAGCAAGCAAGGTTGTATCATCTGCATATTTAGTGAGTCTTCCTCCAATCCTGATGCCACCTTTTTCTTCATATAATCCATCTTCTAGGATTATTTGCTCGGCATACACATTGAATAAGTATGGTGAAAGAATACAACGCTGGCACACAACTTTCCTGATTTTAAACCATTTGGTGTTCCCTTGTTCTGTTCTAACAACTGCCTCTTGGTCTATGTACAGGTTTCTCAGGACTACAATTAAGTGTTCCAGAACACTCATATTCACAATGTTGCCCATAGCTTGTCATGATCCACACAATTGAAAGTCTTTGTGTAGTCAATAAAGCACAGGTAAACATCTTTCTAATGCTCTCTGCTTTCAGTCAAGATCCATCTGATGTTAGCAATGATATTCCTTGTTCCACGTCCTTTTCTGAATCCAGCTTGAAACGCTGGAAGTTCTTTGTCAATGTATGGTTGTAGCCATTTCTGTATTACCTTCAGTAAAACTTTAATCTCATGGGGATATCAATGATATTGTCTGATGATTTCTGCATTCTGTTGGGTCACCTCCCTTTTTAATAGGCACAAATACAGATCTCTTCCAGTCAGTTGGCCAGGTAGTTGTCTTCCAAGTTTCTTAGCATAGATGAGTGAGTGCCTCTAGTACCGCACACTTTGTTGAAAGATTTCTATATGTGTTCTGTCAATTCCCATTTCCTTATTCTTTGACAATGACTTCAATGCACCTTGGAATTCTTCCTCAGCATCATTGTTCTTAACCATATTGCTACCTCTTGGAAAGGTTAAACAGCGACTATTTCTTTTTGGTACAGTGACTCTGTGTATCCTTTCCATCTTCTTTGATGCTTTCTTCACCATTCAGTATTTTGCCCATAGAATACTTCAGTTCAAAATCAAGGTTTGAACTTTTTCTTTAAATCCCTCAGCTTGAGAAATACTGAGTGTGTTCTTCCCTTTTGGTTTTCTAACTCCAGGTCTTTGTGCATTTCATCATTATAGTTGACTTTGTCTTCTTGAGCTGACCTTTGAAATTTTCTGTTCAGCTCTTATACCTCCTCACTTTTTCCATTTGATTTAGCATCTCTATGCTGGCGAGCAAGTTTCAAAGTCTCTTCTGACATCCATTTTGATCTTTTCCTTCTTTCTTGTAATGACCTTTTGCTTTCTTCCTGTATGATATTTTTGATGTCATCCCACAACTCATGGTGTCCAGTCTTTCATGTGCTTCAAATCTGTTCTTCAAATGATCTCTAAATTCAGGTGGGATATATTCAAGGTTATATTTTGGCTTTTATGGATTTGTTTTCATTTTCTTCAGCTTCAGCCTGAATTTGCATATAAGCAATTGATGGTGTGTCCCATAGTCTACCCTGTGCCTTGTTTTGGCTGATGATATGGAGCTTTTCAACTGTCTCTTTCCCTGGATGTAGTCAATTTGATTTCTGTGTATTCCATCTGGTGAGATCCATGTGTATAGTCATCTTTTATGTTGTTTAAAAAAGGTATTTGCAATGAAGAAGCCATTGGTCTTGCTATCATGTGGTCTGCCCCTTGCCTTGTTTTTTATGATGATGAAAGCTTTTCCACTGTCACTTTCCATAGATGTAGTTAATTTGATTTCTATGTATTCCATCTGGTGAGGTCCATGTATATGGTATAATTTTATTATATATAAATGGAATGAAAAGATAATGGAAGTCCCCTTTTTGAAGCCCCCTCATATATTTCTATATACACTGTATTGGTTTTGCTCCTCTAGAGAACCCAGATTAAACATATACAATGTATTTGAAAACCTAGAAAAAATGAATGATTTCTAGAAAAGCTATAAATTATTAAAATACATACAATACAAATTAGGAAAGTTAAATGGAGCAAATACCACAGTGAAGACTAAAGGGTGACTGACACTTTCCCACCAAAAATGACAACTGGATAAAATATTTCACACTGGGGTTCCATCTAGCCTTTAGAGAGTAGGTATCCCCACTTTTGCTTCAAGTATTACAGACCACAGAAAATATAGACATTTCTACATTCATATGATGAGTCAGCATAACCTTAATATTAACATATTGTACAATGTGGGCTAACTCCACTTAAATATACATTAAAAAATCGAACTAAAATTTTAGTAAATATACTGTATCAAGCATAAAGTGGCATATGCCTTAATAATAAATGTATTTTAACTAACTGGGATTTATTCTAGCAGGCTAGAATTCCATATCAGTGTATCTAACAAAAATTTATTACATCCATTAATTAAAGGAAAAACCATATGGAACCATATGAGTAGATGTTAGAAATGCAATAAACATAATTAAGCAAGTGTTATTAATTTAAAAGAAAAAAAAAAAAACCTCTTTGTAAGTGCTTTAAAAATGTTATAAAACATATACCAAAAACTAGCAGCAAATAGCATTTTAACTGGTGAGGCGCTAAAATCATTTTACTTAAAATCAGTAACAAAATAAGAATGACTTTCATCATCATTAGTACTATTTTGGAGGGCTGATCAATTGCAGTATTTAAAGAAGGGTGTATATTTAGCTTTTATAAGGATTGTTGGTGTTGCTAAGTGTTGTCATGTCAATTACAACTCATAGCAAACCTGTGCTTCTCAGAAACCCAGGGTTTCTGAGGAGCAGCTGGTGGACTTGAAGTGCCAACCTTGCAGTTAGCAGTCAAGCACTTATCCTACAGCACCACATCCAGAACTCCTTATAAATATTGGTGATGGTGGTTGTGTGGTGTCAAGTCAGTTCTGATTAATAGTGACACTGTTTCTAAGTGAATGGTGGGTTTGAATGCTGACTTTGTGGTTGGCAGTGCAGTTCTTATCCTACAACACCATACCAGGACTGTTTATAAATATTGGTGGTGGTGGTTGTGTGCCGTCAAGTTGGTTCCAACCCTGTATAGTAGTTTCCAAGTAGAAAGCCTCATCTTTCTCCTGTGGAGCAACTAGGGGATTCAAACTACCGACCTTGAGGTTAGCAGCCTAATGTATAAACCACTATGTTACCAGAACCCCCTTAATAAATATTGCTGCTGCTGTGCTGTGGAGTTGGTTCCAACTCATAGCAACCCTGTATAGGTTTTCTACAGTTGTAAATCTTTATGAGAGCAGAAAAGTCCATGGAATGGCTGGTGGATTCAAACTGCTAACCTTGAAGTTAGCAGTCCAATGTGTAACCCACTGTGCCACCAGAGCTCTTTGTTGTTGTTAAGTGCCGTCGAGTCGATTCTAACCCATAGTGACCCGTAAAGGGTTTCCAAGGAGCAGCTGGTGAGCTTGAACCACCGACCTTGCAGTTCAAACAACTTTGCAGTCTGACAAATTAGCCCACAGCATCACACCAGGACTCCATCTTCCTTCTAGACCAGAGATCTAGAAGGAAGATATTTTCTTTTCCTTGATGATATAAATGCATTTCGACAAAACAAAAAAATATGTAAAATGTGGTATGGCTGGTGGTGTACTAGAGAAATATATATATTTAAAACAAAAGCAACAGATTTTTTTACTGTTAAGCATAAGGTTCGAGGTTCGAACCCACCAGCCACTCCTTGGAAACCCTATACAGGTTCATTATGAGTTAGAACCAACTCAATGGCACTTAGCAACAACACTTCCATGGACATTGATTGCTGATCAAGTAGAAGAAAGCCATTGACATTAACTACTCTTCCTTTAATCCTGATGCTACCTACTTCTTTAGACACTCTCCCTTTCATTTCAGACATGTGTGCTTTTGTGCATGCCATTCCTTCAGACTGTCAAAACTCTCCTCACTTTTCCATCTGCAAACTAGCCTTTAAAAGTCGGCTCAAATTGCAGCTCCTCTTATATTTTTCCAAACCTCTGTTGGCTAATTCCGTATAGGTGAAATCCTTCTGGGGAAAAGGAGGAGAAAAGTTTGAGTGATGGGGACAGAAGGAAGAAGAAAAGAAAGGAAGAAGGAAAGGGGACAGAACCAGTGAGGCAGAAAAAGGAGAGAGACAAAATGAGTAAGGCTCAAGCAAATGCTAAAAAGTAGATCCTGCTTTGAAAAGGCCTCCTGTCTCAAACCAGGTTATGGTAATTGAAAGCTTTCATCCTTTTCCTGACTCCCATACCTCTTACCTCTAGCATACATTCCATTTCAGATTTAGACAACAAGGATACATTGGCCATGGATTCCTCTCCCCGAGGCGGCTCACACCGTCGACAAAGCAGTTTAGATCCCATATACCCGGATAGTATCTTCCCGCCACGGAAGAGTAACCTCATGAAAGACTGGGCAACCAAGACGCCTGATATCTCTTATGAGCGCAAGCTGATGTCCCTCATGGAGAAGGGCACTGAACCCAAAATGGAGGCTGTGAAAATGTTGAAGCCAGAGGAGGTGCTGAGCTGCCGGTGAGAGACACCAGATGGGCAGGGAGGGGTCAACTTTCACCACAACCGCTTGTGCTCAGAATCCCTGAAGGTCTGGGAGGGTGGGTTTGGCATGGCAGTGATCTGTTAGGGTTTCTGAGCAGCCTGCCCACTCATAGACCCCCACCTGGATGAGCATGTTCTGCCATTTTGGTGGCATGCCTTTCGGCTCTTCATAGCTTCAGTTTATTTCACAATACAAACCATGGATATTATCCAGAAGAAAACAGTGGCCTTGTTTGAACAGGGAATTCTCCTAAGGGGTGTATTCGCTATGGTGTTGAATTGCTGGTGAGAGTAGCCACCATTCCCAGTGGACAGCTGCTGTGTGTTTGGGGTTTAGACTCCCAAACGATCATGAACAAAGTGTGAAAACACTTGGCATTTCTAGTTCCTTATCAAAGGGTCTCCCTTCTCACCTGCTGTCTTACTTATCAAGAACCACTGATTTTCAACAACACCACACAGTCGGCTTGCTTATCTCCCCCTCTCAAAATCCAAGCCTCACTCTCCCTGAAAAAATTTAAAAGGACCAGTTGCCATTAAGGTCTATTCCAACTTATGGTGTCCCCATATATGGTAGAGTAGAACTGCACTTCCTAGGGTTTCCGTTGACTAATTTTTCAGAAGCAGATCACCAGGTCTTTTTTCTGAAGTGCCTTTGGGTGAACTTGAACCTCTAACTGTTAGGTTAGCAACTGAGTGGTTATCTATTTGCACCACCACCCAGGAACTCTTTTCCGTCCCCAAGACTTTAATGATGTAACTAATGAGGTTCCGAAACTTGAGTGGAGGAGGAACTTTTGGCATTGACAATAAACAGCCCCTCACCACACTGTATTCACTGACTGGCTGGGAAGTGTCTAGGTGTTATGACGGACTGACTGGCTGGCTGAAAGATGGCCAGGTGACTCCTTGAACCCAAAGTAGCTTCTTACCCTTAATTATTTGGCTAGTTGACTTTGACAATGGCTTTCAGATTGTGAAGCCAATTCTGGCTTCTTACCTAGACCCATGGTGTGGAGAAAAATTATTTGAACAGGACTCCTAACCCCTTGGGATTAGGGGTTGTTGTTGTTGTTAAGTGCCGTCGAGTCCGTTCTGACCCGTAGAGACCCTGTATAGGGTTTCCGAGAAGCAGCTGATGAGCTTGAACCACCAACCTTGCAGTTCAAATAGTTTTGCAGTCTGGCGCATTAACCCACAGCACAACACCAGGACTCCAGGTTGGGGGGGTGGGGGGTGGGGGTGGTTATGTGCCGTGGAGTCGGAACCGACTCATAGTGACCCTGTACAGGGTTTCCAAGGCTGTAAATCTTTATGGGAGCAGAAAGCCTCATTTTTCTCCTGTGGAACAGCTGGTAGTTTTGAACTGCTGACCTTAAGGTTCGCAGCCTGATTCGTAACCACTACACTGCCAGAGCTCCTTAGGTTGAGGGTAGGGGTCGAATATTTGGGAAAATGAAGCAATTAGAAAATCAAACCTCAAAATGACATGATCAGCAATGGGAATTTAGTGAGTACCCACATGCACATAAGTGTGAGGTAATCCAAGTCTGTGTTGCTACAGCTGTCAGGGAAAGTGATCTGGATGTGGTAATTGGAGAGTGAGGTCTGAACTGCCTTGAAGGAGACAGGACACCATTTTTGATGGGTAGAAACAAGGGGTCACAACAACATGTCTTTGCTACAGATGACTATAGTAAAGTAACCAACCAACAGACAGCCTGAGTAGAGGACTTGCCCCTCATACTAAACCTAGGGTAAAGACCAGGGTTGACAGTGGAATCAAAGCTCTCTGGATCATGGAATACAAAGGCCATCAATTCCAGTCCCTAGTACAAGTCAGGATTCTGGGCTTTAGTTGACATTTTTATCAACGGCCTAATTTTTTTATTGTGTTGTTGCTGTTAAGTGCCATCAAGTCAGTTCTGATTCATAGTAACCCTGTATAGAATTTCCAAGGAGTGACTGGTGAGTTTGAACCACCGACCTTGCTATTCAAATGACCTTGTGGTCCAGTGCTTATCTTACAGTGCCACACCATATTATTAAAAGAAAATAAACACCTCAAATCCTACAACTATGGAGTCCTGGTACGGTGCTATGGGTTAATGTGCCAGACTGCAAAGCAGTTTGAACTGCAAGGTCGGCGGTTCAAGTTCACCAGCTGCTCCTTAGAAACCCTATACAGGATCTCTATGGGTCAGAACTGACACAACGGCACTTAACAGCAACAATCCTATAACTATGTTCATTCGTTGTTTCCACTTCCCTGTTTTTCCTTTAACATCACACAAATTATATATACATCGATAAGAGGCACAGGTGAAAATTCATGTTTTTGTTTTGTCTTCCCACTTGGCATAATGTCACAATCATGCTGTACCTTTTTCTTCCTGATGTCATTTTACGTGTTGCAGAAGAGTCCTTGAAATGAGATATTCCATTATTTAGTTTTCCATTCCTCTGTTAATGGGATTTCCTCATGTTCCTGTTTATTATGCTAGAATGCACATCTCCCATCTGTATAACATTGTTTTATTATTATTAACTTCTTTCTTTCTTTGGAATAAGCTGAGAATTTGACCACATTTAGAGTCAGATCATGAATATTTTGTGGGGGAAGGAGAACATAAGAGAGGTGGTTAGTAGATATGTTGCCAAATTGATTTCCAAAAGAGTCAGAGCAGAGCAACTCCCCCAGTTCTGTGGTGTCTGCTGTTTTATTGGGTCTTTCTCAACTCCAAAAGTGTCTGGAAAACCAGTGCCTCCCAGAGTTTCCAGAGCTCCCAGACTTGATGCTTTTCAATAAAGTTAGAAGCTGTGGTGACATCTGCTTGCACTGACCTCTTTGACTTTCTCTCACACAGATACCTGAGGCTGTCCAAGAACAACATCAAGACCTTGCTCAAGCTGTGCAAAGATGCAGGGATGGACGTGGACATCCACCCCCACATGACTGAAGGAGAGATAAATGCTAAAATGGTGTTTGCCCAACCCCCCAACACAGCCCTCTAAAATAGTACTTCCCACTGCTGCCTTCAGGCTCCATCAGCCGCTGGACCCTAGGTCCACAGACGCCACTATCTGGCACGTTGCATAGTGCATCACTTCTGCGACAGCAACATCAGAAAACAAGCCAAGACTGCATGGATTACTGGGCTTGTGCTCATTGCTTTGTCAGTGCCATTCAAGTCAGAACCAACTTAAGGGAAACTTGGGTTTCTCCTCGTCAAAGGAAGACACAAATGCAGATGATTCCTAGAAAGCAAGTCTAAGGAGTAAGAAATGAAAGCGGGCTGTCACCAGAGGGACACAGGGATGAGGCTGCAAAGGACACTCACACCACAGCCCTGTGCAGAACTTTGCTTAGTGTAGAGCTGGACCATTTTCACATAAGGTGGGGAGGTGATCTCAGGGAAAGGGGGATGCAGACTCTCAGCACATCTAAATGGAGCAGATGAGGGACACAGACCCACAGCCCCACCGTCCCAGAAGGGACCCTTAAAACTGGGCCTATCAGCATCAAACAAAACCCTGTACCCACATCCTTTTAGAACCAAACCAGGTGCTGTCGAATCAACTCTGACTTAGCAACCCCATGTTTTTCAGAGCAAAACTGTGCTCCAGAGGCTTTTGAATGGCTGAGTTTTCTGAAAGTAGATTGTCAGGCAGGCACCTTCCTCTTGAGGTACCTCTGGATGGGCTATCACCAACAACCCTTCAGTTAGCAAGTGTTAACCATATGCACACCCAAGTGCATATACTCCTCTGGCTCTTCCCCAAGCTCCACCTCCCACCTACCCCACTCATACCCCAACTCCCGCCCACACACACATTCCAGGTGCAAGGCTCTGGTGGAGGGTCAGTCAGGCTAGTTGCCAGACACTAAATAGTTCCCAAACTCTAAATTTGCCACACCTTAGGGCTCTAAAGGGAATGCTTAGAGGAGAGCAGCTCTCGCCACTGAATTGAGACTCTGTCGGTTCCATGCCCACCCACCCCTACACGGAGGGGCCCCAGACCTACCCACCCATCCCCAGGGTACACAGGGACCCCATACTCACAGTGGTGGGGTTCCCAAGCCCACTCATACCTAGCCCACATGGGAAATCCTAGGCCCACCCACCCCCAGTGGCTCCACAGCCATCAACCCACATGGCAGGTTCCATGCCCACTCATGCCGTTGGCCCACCCACCCTCGGCCTAGATGGGGGAGTCCCAGACCCACTCACTATGGCCCACATGGGGGAGTCCCATGTCCACCCTCCCCCCACCTACACAAAAGCCAAAGACTTAGCCCCACCCAGCCCACATAGGGCTCCATGCCCAGCCACCTGCAGCCCACATAGGCACCCCAGACTTACCCACCCCCAGCCCACAGTGGGTGTTCCAGGCCCACCCACCCCCGACCCACACAGGTGCTTCACACACACACATACACACCCAGTCTATATGGGAGCTCCATGCCCACCCACTTCTGCCACAAATGGGAGATTTGATCACTTCTGAAGGGAAGACACAGGGACCCAGTGGGTGTGACCCCTGCACTCCACACATCCTCTCACCCCACCCCTACTACTACCCACAGCACAGTAAGTGCAGCTGAGACAAAACTACTGGTCAGTCAACAACCAGAATGCTCCTGCATTCCTCCCAAGAACCTAATTGCAAATGAGTATGAGACACCACTTCAATCCAGCAAACACCTGCTGTTCCTCTAAGAGAACTGCTGTTGTTAAGTGCTGTCCAATCAGTTCTGACTCATAGAACCCTGTATAGTGGGTGAGTTTGAACTGCCAACCTTTCAGTTCAAACTGACCTTGAGGTCCAGTGCTTATTCTAGAGTACCATACCAGTTCTTCAAAAATGAGTGGGAAACATTTTCTGACCGTTACCAAGTGTTAGCACTTTACAATATTATCTCATTCAGCATCAAAACAAGCAAATCTGTAATCATCTTCAAGGCATTCACTTCTGTATTCCAGACCCTACCACCAACTTCTATGCCTGCATTCCTAAGTGTTTTTTTTCTTTCAGGAAGTCCTTCTGCATGTTTACTCTACCTCTCTCTTGCTGTTTTCTTTCATTCCAGCCACTTTGGAGCAGAAGTAGTTAGCCTTCATTTTCTAGTAAATATTCAGATTCTAGAAGGACAAATGATGAGGAACAAATTAAACATGATAAAATGGCTGCATTGGTTAGGGTTCTGTGTCAACTCGACTAAGCCAGGATGTCCAGAGGCTTAGTAGTTGGAATGTGCTTATTCCCATGATGATGAAACCTAATACAGGCATACTTAGCTCTATGATGAGTCTCTATGAGCAGCCAATCAATTGAAGGGATGCTTTATTGGGGTGTGGTCTGCTCTAAATATAATGGACCTATGGGAAAGGCTCTCACTCTCTCTTCCATTAGAGACCTAGGGCTTTGCAATTGAAAATAATTTCCTTGATAATAAAATTCTCTTTACATAGATACATATATATGTTTCACTTCTCTAGAAAACCTGGCCTAAGACAAAGGTTTTTTAAAAGTTAAATATCAGATAATTACAGCAATGCAATATGATAATGAGCATTAGCCAGTTCATCTCCAGACTTGAATTTATTCCATACAATTCAGTTTACCCCCCACCCCCCATATCCTTACCACATTCATCTTTAAAACAAAATAACAAAAAAAAAAAAATCTCCGTTTTCTACTAAGGCATGTGGACAATGAGCAGAAAGACTGAATTCTTTCTGTTCATTAGGATTAATTTCAAGGTGAAATATAGACTCATTGGATTTTATTTCCCTTCACCAATAGTATATTATATTGTTGCATGGTATTCCCATTGTGGTCCACCAAGACCTGTGTGTCCTTTACTGAAGGTCTGGAGTCCTACATCAACTCCTCCATGATTCTAGGAACCTCTAGATGCTCCAGGAGAGGAAGTCCAGTCTTTGTGGAATCAAAGAGGAGTCAGGGGAGTCAGCAGTGCACCAACCTCTGACCTTGAACAGGACAATGTTTATAATCCCACACTCTACCCACACTGCACTTTAATCAGCTCTTTTTTCTTTGTTTTTGCATGAGGGTTAGGTTTAGAATCATGGCTAGACCTAACATTTAATGATAGGATTATAGTTAGGATTAGTGTTAGGGGTAAGGGTTGGACTAGGACTAGCAGTAAAAACTTGTGGCACAAGACATCTTTAAAATGCTAAAAGACAAAGCTATCATTTTGAGGACTAAGGGTGCTTTTATCTAAGTTGTAGTGTTTTCAAGAGTTTCATATGCTTGTGTAAGTTGGACAATGAATAAGGAAGACCGGAGAAGAATCAATGCATTTGAATTATGGTGTTTGAAAAGAATATTAAAAGTACCATAGACTCTTTAACACCACTCTTATTCATTATTGACTGAATATTGTGGAGTCCTGGTGTGGTGTTGTGGGTTAATGCACTGGACTATGAAATTGGTTTGACCCACAAGTTCTGCAGTTCAAGCTCACTAGTCGATCCTTGGAAACCCTATATAGGGTCGCTATGAGTTGGAACTGACTCGATGGCACTTAGAATCAACAAAAATTCATTATTGTGTTAGAAGTTTTAGCCAGAGATATAAAGCCAGAAAGGGAAATTAAAGACATCCAAATTGGCAAAGAAGTAAAAATCTCTCCATGATATTTATTGTATAATAGAAAATCCTAAAGACTCAGCAATAAAATCATTGGAACCTATTGAAAGATTCAGCAAAGTGGTAGTGTACAAGACTAATATACATAAATCTGTTGGATTCCTCTACACTAATAAAGACAGCTCTCAAAAGGAAATTAGAAAAATAATATCATTTACAATGGTGGTGGTGGTGTGCTGTGGAGTCGGTTCCAATTCATACCAACCCTGCATAGGGTTTCCAAGGCTGTGAATCTTTACGGGAGCAGAAAGCCTAATCTTTCTCCCATGGAATGGCTGGTAGTTTCAATGCTGACCTTGAGGTTAACAGTCCAAATTAATAGCCACCCAAAAGATGAAATATTTAGAAATAAATCTAACCAGAGAAACAAAAGACCTATACAAAGAAACTTGTACAACAGTACAAGAAACCAAAAGAGACTTACAAAATGGAAGAATATGCCATTGTCATGAATAGGAAGACTTAAAATTGTGAAAATGTCAATACTAACCTAAAGCAATCTATAGATATAATGCAATCCCAATTCATATTGCAATGTCATTCTTTAAAGAGATGGAAAAACTGATCACTAACTTTTTATGGAAATGAAATAGACCTCAGGTAAGCACTGCTTAAGAACAACAAAGTTGGAAGTCTCTCATTCCTTGATCTCAAAATCTACTATACAGTCACAGTGGTCAAAATAGCTTGGTACTGGTACAATGAAAGATACATAGACCAAGGGAATAGAATTGAAAATCCAGAAGTAAATCTATCTGTATACTGATCTTTGACAAAGGGCCGAAATACAGCAACTGGGGAAGAGATAATCTCATTAACAAATGGTGCTTGGGAAACTAGAAATCTATTTGCAGAATAATGAAAAAAGGCCTATAGCTCACACCATATACAAAAACAAACCCAATGTGGATTAAAGACCTAAATGTAAAACTGAGAACTATAAAGATAATCAGTGAAAAAAAAATAGAGACAGGCTTAGGGACTCTCATTGTTTTTGTTAAATACCATCGAGTCGATTCTGACTCATAGAGACTGTGGATTTGAACTATTGACTTTGTAGTTTGAAGTCCAGTGCTGATCCTGCAGAGCTACACCAGGAGTCCAGGGGCTATAATTCATCTGATATATCATTGCAAAAACAATTTTCCCAGTCTGTGGGCTCTCCTTTGGTGATATCTTTTGATGCACAATAAATGTCTAATTTTTAGGAGGTCTACTGTTTATGTGTTTTTAGTTATATTTGACAGTGTATTTAAATCATGTAGCTCTAATAAATGGCATAAACACACTATCAAACATAACTCAAAACACACAAACAATAGAAGATAAAATAA